AGAGGTAGTACATACCTAGTAACATGTCCATTGGGAGCTCGTCACTGACCAGGAACGAGACAAGATGTCTCAAGTCCCCTCCCGCGTACGGGAAAACACACTCTACATCATGGAGGTAGTCATTAACTACCATACGCTGTTTGTTGGCACAGGTCGACTCCACAGGTCGACTCAGGCGCTGCACTTGCCCCTGTAAGCGCAGCCTCTCAATGCACGCGCGGCTCATAAAGTTTCTAGTCGAGAAAGTGTCGTAATAGGCCCCAGCCTTGCGGCCTCCTATGACTACCTCGCTAACAAACATTTCACTCTTAGGGGCTTTAACTAACGCCGTCCACGAAGCTAGTGGATCGGATCTAGACCACTCATGCTCTAGCTCCTCTAAGGATTCAAACACATTCATCGAACAGAGGGTCGATGAGTCTGAATGTGTTTGCGGGACGACTGAAGAGTCTGTAGCTTGGGCCATCTCTCGCGAAGGTGAGGGTGAATCCACCATCGCAACCCTAGTAGGAACAGCTACTATCCCTACTGGCCCGACGTGTTTCCCGGAGCACTGCTTGAAGAACTAGCAACGTTGCTACCAACAGTTTGAGAGGATCCTACTGCCGACCCCGTAGTGGGCGGAATCTTCTCGGTGACCTTCCTATTGCGGCACTTGTACATGCTATGACCATATTGGCCACGCTTGATACAAGCTTGTCGTGCCCACCGATCTCTCCACACGTCCTCAGCTAGACCCACTTTCTCCCATGGAGGAGCATTGGGGTCTGTTTGACTCTTCGACCGGGATCCCCTAGGGCGTCTACCGGTCCCTTTACCTTTTTGTTGGGTTACGGCGGCGACTACTCCACCCTCTGAAGTATCGCCGCCTGCCTCTGCACCTACTCCCTCCTGGAAGTTCCCGTCCAACACGATGGTTGATCCATCGTTGTCGACAAACATGATGCGACCTTTCGCCTTCCAGTTGGGAGGCAGTGTCTTCTTTCTCCCTTCCGTAGTGGGTGCCTGTCCATGGCCTATGTTTGCTTCTAGGTCTAGGGCCACCTTGCTGAACGAAGGAAAGTTGTGCATATTAATGTTGGCCTCTTTCGCCAACTGGTTCCTGAGCGGCAGAGATAAGGTCCTCAGGTACGAAGTTAGCATGACCTGGGGGTCATAGCGTACCCCTGGAACACAAATCAAACGCTCTACAGCGTCGGTGGCATCCCTTACTGACTTAAACTGCCGCGTGTGCAGTGTCAGAATCGCATCAGTGGCCTTTTGAGCCTCCTGCGGATCATGCCACCTGTCTTCCACCATTTTCAGGAAGTCCTCCAACTTTTGAGAGGCTGCCCAAGAGCGGAAGTCATGACCGTACCCCTGGAGTTGCACTAACCCACTCAACCATCTCGCTGCACTACCCTCCAGGTAGGAAGCAGCCACAAGCACTTCTTCGTGTGGTAAGGTGAGTTTACACCTGACGTAGACTGGCACCGCCCTCAACCAAGTGTCGAGGTCTTCACCTCTCTTGTCTCTTGTAAAAGGTTTAGAAGCGGCGATGGCCGTCTTTGGAACCCACTGACTTTGTCTCGGTCCCTTCACCAACCCGGGCTGTGGACCCGGCGATACAGGTTGTTGTGCTAGCTGCTGGGGCTGTGTGCCCTGAGGTTGCACTAACTGCGAGACAGCAGGCTACGTGGTGACTGCAACCTGTGACGGACTTGGAGTAAACACTGTCTGAACAGGAACCTGCAAACTACTCCCTGCTGTTACCCCTCCTGACAGAGGCACGCCCAGGGAAACGATAGCAACCGATGAAGGGGCTACATATGGGGATACCCCAGTCACCGGTGGAACAGAAAGAGGAGGATATGGCACTGACCAGGCACCAGGCCCTGCTGGTGATGGTGCTGCYTGAGCACGCCCTGCCAACACGGCTAGGCTTTGTTGAATGTCCTGAAGGAGGGTAGTTTGATGCTCCTGCATCTCAATTACGCCTAGCAGGGCCCTCCTAACTACCTTYACATCHTYATCMATATGCGTCAGGTCCATCGTCTCTAACTCCTCTATGTCTGCCCCTCTCTRTTGCATCCTGGCTCTTCTTCTAATCATCATCTCTTTCTCCCTTTTTATCTTTCCTAATGCCTTCTGTAGCTGTGCCTCTTGCAGGGCTGCCTGCTGGATGGCGACATCCTCTGGGGACAACATGGCGGGCTGGCTTGCCATTAAGCCAGTGGACTGACTCACGGTCTGCACGACCGTGGACCCGGCGGTACCTGAACTTCCGGCTTGGGAAGTCTGCTGCGCAGACGTGCTCATGGCTGTGGTAGCCATGTCTGCTATAGCACTGGCCTCGCTAGCAAATGCCCTGTTGGCCTCGGCTGCTCTAGCTCTCCTTTCCCTTTGTCGGTGGAACAGTTCCCTATCACCATACGGTCCTAAAGACACATGGGATACCGGTCCTCTAGCCGATCGTAAGGTCCTGCGGTCGTCCTCTCCGGTGTCCTCCACGTCGCTCATAGGCTACAGCACTGTGCACTGTCCACACTAGATCATTCTAGATGCCTACCGCAGCTTAGTACACAGACCAACTAATTAGTGGTGGCTATCAGAACAGATCTCATTTGGGGTCAACAGGTAAGTGAGGTTCCTATTGTCAATAC